CATGCCCTTCCGCTGTATTGTATCAACTCTGTATTATCTGGTCGGTTCTGGGAATCTGCGCCATACTTATGACTGTGTTTCACAAGTATGCAACAGTTTGGTATCGGAGCAGACCAGTATTGAATGACTCACCATTGATTGATTGATTGATTGATTGATTGATTGATCTCTGTTATCATTAAAATCGCAAGTTGCAATTTTTTTTCTTTTCGTGCATTTTCGTAGGATTAGGATGTTCAAATTTCGGTTTTGAGACTTTTTCTCAATCTTGCGCAATTAGGAATTACCAATTACGGGTAAACCTAATTAGCGCTAATTAGGGTTAGTCCTAATCGAAAGTTTAGGTTTTGCGACTTTTCCCGAATTACGCAGTTAGGAATTCCTAATTACGAGGTAAAACCTAATTAGCGCTAATTAGGGTTAATCCTAACCTAATCTAAACGACCTACCTAACCTATCGAGAGTAGGTGCCAGCCAGGCACCGCGCCAAGCAAGGCTGATCGGGCCTGAGCTAGGCCATATGCGAACTGCAAACTTCACGGGACTTTCACTTTTTGCAAACTGCATCTTTTTGCGATCCAAGGATTGAATCTTTCCAGCGAATTGTGTATCTTCCTGCTAGCTATCATCTCTACTATCTGAAGTGACCTCGTGATGATGCTAAAACTTCCGATGAAATTTCGTAAATTTTTTCAAAAGTTATGTCTAAATGTTTAAACTTGCGTAAACTTATTCATTTCTTTTATTGATGCAAATCTAAAATATTTCGATTACATATTTAACCTTTGTGAATAAACGGTTGCAAAGTTAAATATTTCGTTAATCAGGTATTAAACAAGGCTACCAGCCGGGCCGCCCGGGTCCCGGGTGGCCAGCCCGTGCAAGGACCAGGGAAGGTCCCAGCCCAAAAAAAAAAAACTATGTTATGCAGAAAAATAAACTGAACAACTTTTGCCTCAGGGTCACATCGAAATTCTGCACCAAAATTTGGAATAAAAAATAAAATTAAAATTTTTAAATTTAAATTTTTTACTTTTTAATTGTTTTTTTGCCCGGGCGGGCAAGTGACCCTGGGCCACTCTGGTAGCCTAGGTATTAAATCTTTTTGCCAAAATTAAATTTTATTAATTCCTATTTTTCGATTAAAATTTTATTTAATTTTCCAAAATTTGAAAATTCGTTCGGGGGGGAATTTGTTTTTTCCTTTGATTAGTACCAGACTTCGAGGTCAGGGGACACAGGGACTGTCTGTGCATTGTGTGCCTCTCTGCCCCTCCTCCCCACCCAACCTTCTCTTCTCCTCTTGGTTCTACAGACTGCAGTCTCCGGACACGTCAGCAGAGGTGCCACATCAGCAGAGTGACAGGTCAGTACAGTGACACATCAGCAGAGGGACACGCAAGTGCCACATCAGCAGAGTGCCACGTCAGTACATTGCCACGTCAGCAGAGTACCACGTCAACAGCAACGTGCAGCCGGACACTAAATGCGCCGCAGCCTACGATTGGCGGAACGCGAGTCCAAGGCAGCCAAGCCCCAACCGGGACCCAAGGCACCGCGAATTCCGCGCAAGCGACGCACGACCATGGCTGCCACCTCTGACAAGAGTGCACCAACCAGCCCCAAGAGGCCGGTTCCACCTCCTCTCCTAGTTCAGCAGGCCGATGAACCGCTCCTAGCATTCCTAGACCGTCTCCAGAAGTATTCCGAGACGACGGCCGCTGAACAACGCAAGTGGGAAGAAGAGCAAGCCGCCCGCCATCAGGAGATTCAGCGCCAGCTGGCAGAGGCAGAGGCAGCACGTCAGCAGGCCGCAGCCGAAGCTGCAGCAGCCGCACGGTTGCAACAGCAGCAGGTCGAGGCAGATCAGAACCAGGCTCGTTACCAAGCCACTATGGATCTGACTCGCGATGAAGCCACCTATGGCAGGCTACTTCGCCGACAGCATTTCCACGAAACCGAAGAACGGCAAGAGCCAACCACGGAGGAAGCAGATAAAGAAGGAATAGCAGTTCTGATGGAGAATCTGCTGTACACATGCAATTGGCAGCAACGCGAACTGCTCGCCACGCGGCAGGTCCTCATCCGCTATGAAACAACACTCAAGGCAATGGATAACAGGATCACGTCGCTGCAGGCCGAGAACAGGACACTACATGCCGCCAACAGCCAACAGCAGACACTCAACCACCAGCTGCAGGCAGATGTCAACTGTCCGCAGCTGCGTCAACAAGCAGTGCAGCAGTCGACTGCAGCCCAGCTTTGACCGCATAGGCAAAGCAATTGGAAGAGCGGGTCAATCATTTAGTCGCATCCCTGGGCGACATCAGCAAGTTTGCAGGAGCCTCTACAGTCAGCAATCAGCTGCAGACGCTCAGCGACCGCGTTGATCAACGTCCGGTCACCGTCGCCAAGGAATGAAAGATGCCGAACTTCAAAATCGAGAAGTTTGAGGACTATCACAAGACCGATCCGCTGCAATGGTGGATGGCATTCAACGCAGAGGCCGACGTGCATCATACTCTGTCCCTATGGCGGCTGGATGCATTGTACCTCCAACTGATAGGCGGAGTGCAAGCATTCATGACACACATGGCCGCGGCGCTTGAGTGTATCATCGCCACCCTCCACACGAAGATCACGTGGGAGGAGTTTGAGAAGAAATGGAAGACCCGGTTCATGGTGAACAATGACAAGCGTCACGCCTTGAACAAGATCTTCCACATCTTCCAAGGCCAGCAACCTTCGCGGGAATGGCTGACGGAGTGGCAAAGACTCGACGCCACACCGGAGTTGAACCTACCGTTCGACTCGATCCGAGGCGAATTCTTCGTCCGATCCTGCGACGCCTTGACTGCTGCTCTCGGCAGCGAATACGAGTATAAGAACTTTGACGACATGATCGCCAAAGCCAGAGAGCTTATACAAGGTAACCGGCGTGCGGCTAACGAGACTCGTCAGCAGCCCGGTTACGTGGAGAAAGGAGAAGGTCAACGGACGCCGCAAGTAGCAGCAGTCCAGCAAGGACAAAGTGAGGACTACGCAGCCGCTTCGACACCAAGTGACAGAGATGTGGCGGCAGCGATACCACCGCAACGCTCAAAACCCCGAGGGGGAAAACAGAAGGCGAAACCAGCGTCGGCGGATGGAGCACGACAGGCACCATGGACGAAGTTCGGGATTACGGAGGACATGTTCAAGTTGCGACAGAAATGGGGATGTTGTTTGTGGTGCAACAGCACCAAGCACATCACCAGTGCATGCCTCGACAAGGACAAAGAAAATGTCAAGCGTCCTGGCTCGGGAAACTGAGCACCGCGGGAAGTGCAACGACAACACTTCCCAGTCTGCCGGAGTCGGCTGCCTTGCTAGCAACCTCTCTCACATCCGGGGACACCGCGGCAGTCGCAAGTTCTCGTACTCACGCGTTGAGTACGAGAACTATGCTGTCGAGCTGGTCCCACCGTTGAACCAGCCTCTCCACGTGCAAGATTCAAGCGTATGCGCGGCAGTTCCGCCGTCGGACAATGAACCGGTGGCTTCGCCAACCATCTTATTGGAGGATCCGTCAACTTGGGCGAGACTTGAGGATCTCGCCCGTTGACGGTTGAGGACTTCCAATGGTTGCCTCTGCCCTCCACCGGTTCTTTGCCAACTCCGCATTGCAATGCCTTAATGGCACATCTACGCGAATACTTGCACGCTACAGTACCACCTCCGTTGACGGACGGCGGAGTAGCGGTTGTTGACCTTTGCAATCTTCTTGCGAAGATCGACCGCGAGTACGCAACGCAACGGTACGTCGACACCGATGCACCGCTCCTCTACATCCGCATTCAGATCGGAAAGGCGACCTGAAGTGCCTTGATCGATTGTGGAGCGACTCGCAACTACATCAGCCAAGACTTCATGGCACGCGCCGGGCTAGGCCCGCGCGTTCGAAGGAAAAGCCAGCCTATGCACGTCACGTTGGCCGATGGTCACACGCAAAAGTCAATCGACCGATGCGTTGACTCGGTGCCCGTGTACTTCGCCCCGCTAGCAAGCGAGGCTGTGTCCTTCGACATATTGGACACCAAGTTCGATATGATCCTAGGCATGTCGTGGCTGCAAAGCGAAGACCATCCGGTGAACTTCCATCGTCGCACCGTTCACGTTCGTGATCGGCATGGCGAACTAGTCCCGTGTACGGTGCCGCTTCCTCATCCTTCGATTGGTTGTCACGTGGTATCCGCGGTGAGCATTCACCAATCCATCCGGCGAAACGACATCGAGGAGATGGGCATATGTTTTCTTCATGCCCTTCCACCCGGTGATCAGCCCAAGACGGATACGTCGGACCCACGCATCATTGAGCTGTTGGACAGCTATGGGGATGTCTTTCAAGCTCCCGCCGGAGTCATACCGGATCGGCCTATACGTCACGGGATCACTCTCGAGGACGGCGCCGTACCTCCGCGCGGATGTATCTACCGCATAAGCGAAGAGGAACTTCAAGTGTTCCGAGCACAACTAGACGACCTCTTGGCCAAGGGCTGGATTCGCCCTAGCTGCTCGCCATACAGTGCTCCCGTTCTCTTCGTCCGGAAGAAGAACAAGGACCTTTGGTTGTGCATCGACTATCATAAACTCGACGCACAAACGATCAAGAACGCCGGCCCTCTCCCTCGGATCGATGATCTTCTCGAGCGACTTGGCGGCGCCAAGTACTTCTCCAAGCTAGACCTCAAGTCCGGTTATCACCAGATCGAGATTCAGCCAAGAGATCGGTACAAGACCGCATTCAAGACGCGGTATGGGCACTTTGAGTGGATCGTCATGCCTTTCGGTCTCACCAATGCCCCGGCTACTTTCCAAGCGGCTATGACGACGAAATTCCGCGGCTCGACCGCTCCGTACTCATTTACCTCGATGACATCTTGGTTTATAGTCGGTCGCTGGACGAGCATCTCGAGCACCTTCGCGCCGTATTGGAGCGGCTTCGTATCGCCAAGTACAAGGCAAACCGCGACAAGTGCGAGTTTGCCCAACAAGAGCTGGAGTACTTGGGCCATTACGTCACGCCGCAAGGCATTCGTCCGCTCGCGGACAAGTTACAAGCTATTCAAGATTGGCCGGACCTCAAGTGTACTACCGACATCCGCTCCTTTCTTGGCTTGGCATTGTACTACATGCGCTTCGTCAAAGGATTTCAACGCATCGCTGCACCATTGTCACGACTTCAGTCCCCCTTGGTGCCTTTCGAGTTCAGCGACGAGGCCTGACATGCGTTTCACACGCTGAAGACGGCTTTGCTTCAAGCTCGCGTCCTAAGCATCTACGACCAGAGTTGCCTACCAAAGTGACTACGGACGCTTCCGGTTACGGCATTGGCGTGGTTTTGGAACAGCATGACGGCACAGACTGGCATCCGGTTGAGTATTTCAGCCAAAAGGTGCCGCCCATCAACACTCTTGATGATGCGAGGAAGAAGGAACTCCTAGCTTTTGTCTCCGTACTTAAGCGTTGGCGTCATTTTCTCCTCGGGCGTCGGCGATTCACGTGGGCAACGGACAACAATCCGTTGACATATTACAAGACGCAAGACACGGTGAGCAGCACGATCGGTCGGTGGATGTATTTCATTGACCAAATCGACTTCACCTCCAAGCACATTCCGGGCTCCTCGAACAAGGCGGCGGATGCTCTCTTGCGAAGACCCGATCTTTGCGCCATGGTACACTCCACGTTCGGCCTCGACGAGGACCTCCGACAACATTTCGTAAACGGCTACAAGTCGGATCCGGGATTCTCCACACTCTACGCGGACTTATCATCGGACCAACCGCGGGCAAGCAACTATCGCATCACCGACGGCTACTTGCTCCTCCATACGCGAGGCAAGGACTTGTTGTGTTCCCCAAGACCGCATCTTGCGCACTCGCCTCCTTGGTGAATACCATGATTCGCGGCTGGCAGGACACCCTGGCAGGACACCTTGGCATCGCACGCACACTAGCACGACTCCACCAACGCTTTCACTGGCCGGACATCATCAACGACGTCAACCGGTACATTCAATCATGTGCAGTTTGCCACCGGAATAAAGGGCGCCATCAGCTCCCTTACGGTGAACTGAAACCATTGCCGATACCTCGGGCACCAGGTCTCTCCATTGCTATGGATGTGACCGGTCCTTTCCCTCGCGATCGCCTTGGTCATGATGGTATTCTCACGGTCGTTGACCGTTTGAGCAAGTACGCTCGATTTCTTCCATGCAAGTAACATGCGACGGCTCCCGAGCTCGCATGGCTTTTGCATACCGGCTGGTTTTGCAGCCACGGCGTTCCTGAAGACATCGTCAGCGACCGCGACACTCGTTTCATGTCGGCCTTTTGGACGGCACTCATGGTGGAATCGGGCACCAGCATGAAACCGAGCTCCGCACGGCATCCTCAAACGGATGGGCAAATGGAACGGGCGCACCAGACTGCGCAGATGATGCTCCGCACACTCATCCGCCCGGATCAGAAGGACTGGGTTGACCTTCTTCCCGACATCGAGTTCGCCTACAACACTTCGGTGCACCCGGCGATTGGCGTGACTCCATTCGAGTTGCACCACGGTGGACGGAAAGGATGTATCTTCGCAGACATTTTGCTTCCACGGGCTGCCGATATAGACGCCGCTTGCTACCCCGCTTCTACACGGAAGTACAGGGAACTGCTGGCCAAAGCCCGCGCTAACATGCAAAAGGCTCAGGTCCGTATGCATCAGCAAGCGAACCGGCGTCGCATCCCATGTCCAATTCGCGCCGGCGACCTAGTTTGGGTCACCTCCGAGGAATTCGCGCTCGAGCAGGATGTCTCGCGCAAGCTCCTCCAGAAGTGGTTTGGACCATGGATGGTCACTTCAGCAGCTGGCGACGACCCCGCGGGTCCATCATTCATCATTGAGATTCCCCCGCATTTGACGGTTCACCCTATCTTTCACGCTTCGAAGCTGGCGGTTTACACTCCAGCCTCCGCAGCGGACTTCCCGCGCAGACGGTCACAGGACCCTCCTTCAATGGATGGCCATCAGGAGGTCGACCGGGTTCTCACGCATCGCAAGCATGGCAACAAGCCAATGCAGTACAAAGTTACATTCAAGCAATGCGATCCGAATGACACACGCTGGATCTCAAGAGCTGATCTGAAGGCATCAGCACCCCTCATCTTCGCACATTATGAAAAACAGCGACTTGCTAAGGAAGCTGCCCAACCTGCCCGCCCTGTACAGACATCAGACAGACAGCTTCGCCCTCGCAGTTAGCTCGGTCCTTCAAGGGGGGGAGTGTGTGGCATACTGAGCGGGCCCCAGTTAGGGCCCGGTTCCAAGACAGGCAGGATTAGCCTAAGGGACACCGGTTCAGATGAGGCTCAAAAGGGCCTGGACCACGGCTGTTCAGGCAGGCCCAGGCCAAACRGCSACAAGGCCGGTACCGGTCCAGCCTAGGACCTACCGGCAGCGGTTCAGAGGCTGCCGTAGTTTAGGCGCCAAACCAGTTTCGAAACTGGACYGTTGATCTAGATCAACGGTCCAGGCCAGTAGGTACCGGAAGGCAAGAGGCCGGCCCAGCACTACAAAAGGCTGGGTACCAGCCTCAGTAGGAAGGTTAGTACGTACGAGTTAGTCTGGAGGATTAGCGGAGCAGCCAAGCGTTAAGCAGATTAGCGCAGCGCTGCAGCAGCGAGAGCAGCCAGGAGACAGCGGGCGCAGCGGCAAGAGGAACAGCGCAGCGGCCCAGCCGCGCCATAGCTACCAGCAGGTACCGGGAGGAAGGCCCTGCCTTCTCTCCCTCTGTTCCATCTGCCTCGGCTCTCTCTCTCTCTCTCTCTCTCTCTCTCTCTCTCTCCCTACCCTCTTGGTCTAAGTCTACTTCTCCTACAGGACTACTACTACAGTAATGGAGATGGTTACGATTTCTGATGACATCTGAGACAGAGTTGAGGACTATTTCGGGATCTGATTTCCATCTCTCCTTCGGAGATGTACTTGACATTGTGAGATCGACATCTGGGAGATTGTGAGACTTGGTATTCACGACATTTCGGATTTTTGTCATTTCTGACAGTTCAAGTTACTATCTTTGGAGACATTGAGTTGACATCATCTCCCCTCTCCTCCTCCTTCGTCTCTCTCCTCTCCCCCCTTCGTYCGTGWATSATTTCAGCCCCTGGCCCTTCGTCTCCTCTCAAGGCCAGGGCATTCACACCTGATGAATGTATGAGAGTTGTTCGAATGTAGTCCGAGTCAGGTCTGAGTCAATCCAAAKGTATCATGCCCTTCCGCTGTATTGTATCAACTCTGTATTATCTGGTCGGTTCTGGGAATCTGCGCCATACTTATGACTGTGTTTCACAAGTATGCAACAACCCCCCACCCAGACCAACCCTGTAACGGGAGTGAGGCTGAGGGTGAGCCGAGGGAGAGGAGAGAGAGAGGGAGAGAGTGAGAGCACACACACACACTCACTCACTCGACACGACGGACTCGGACTGAGGGTTGGACGCAGACACAGTGGCAAGGCACAAAGTCGAAGTCTTGGATTCCCAATGCCGAAACGGCAAGTCACACTGAGTACAATTACAGCAGCAGAGAACTGGTACGAGACTGGTCCCCGTACCGTATGGGGAGCCGGTATAAGTACCGGTGACACGTACGGTACCAGGGGCATTTCTGCAAAGGCCCCGAGGGCAGAACTGAAAAATGCAGTATTTGAAAGTGGCGCTTGAATTGCAGCATGGCGCCAGTTGTCCAAAATCCTACGGTACCAAAGGAGGGGTTTGGAAAAAGGGTGCCAGGCCGAAAACGGGATGCAGCCGAAACAGCAAAAGATAGACCAGGGATCGAGCCCTGGCGAAGTCCGTAACAAACCCCCCCATCCCCCCACCAAAACCGAAATTTTATTGCAGATTCGAGGTCCTCTCGCCGAGCGCAGAATGACCCCGGTTTCAAAAAAAAATAAACAAAATTCTGGGCGTTTTTTTGTCCTGCCCGGTTTACCCGGGCGGCCCCCACGGGCCCAACCGGCTGGGCCCAGCCCGGCAGGGCAGGCCCGGCCGGGCGGCGTCCTCACTCAGTTTACAATGCATATGCGTTATGTTCGGGGGAAGAAGGTAGTATGATATCGTGAGGCTGCTGGAGATTATGCTGGCACCAGTTCTGATGGGTGGGCGCCAGCTTCACGGGAGATTCTGCTTGAGCGGCCAGTGCCGCCATAGCTACAGACATTGTGTATAGGTTGGGCGAGGAGGTGGAGGATCAGGGCTGTGAGACTGTGGAAGGTTGAGGGGAAGCTTACCTGAACTTACCTGGCGACGTTATATGTGATCGGCCGTTTGTCTCCAAGAAGGTGAGGAAGATCTGCGCCATCCTCCCTGCTTGATTGCTGATGTGGATGCAGGATGGGCGCCCTGCTGTGACCTGCACACTGTATTTGCCAGAGAACGTCCGAGAGAGAGACTGCTTTGCTGAGGTGGCGACACGGGAAATAATGCCCGAGGAGGAAGTGGGCAGGAGAGACTTCATGCATGATTGACAGGGACTCTTAAATAATGCCCGAGGAGGAAGTGGGCAGGAGAGACTTCATGCATGATTGACAGGGACTCTTCTTCTTCTCCTGCTCTCTGTCTCTTCTCCTCACTACCTCTTTCTCTTCTCTGAAGTTGCGATGCTCTTGGGAAGTGCACATATGCTGGGCATGGACATATAATCCATTTTGGAGACATTATTTTGTCCGCTGGGTTCAGACTTGTATCACGACGGTGATTGGCTTCTCAATGCAACTGGTTTCATTGCAGTTGCACACAATTTATCTACGGGACACTTTCCTCCCCGATGTATCCAGCCTACCTATCCCCTCAGGGTTGAGCCTTCCCTGTTGAGCCCGAAAATACAGGGAAAAAGAAAGACTCCCAAGTTCTCAACATAAATGACAAAAGAAAAGGATTGGTGGTGACGGGTCAGATTTTTAAAATCTGCCATGTATGTTTGCTTCCGCATGCATGATCTATGCTTTGCCTTTGACAACCTGTCACATGCCAAGTGGCGCAGACCAGACCCAAGAACCGACCTCTCACAGATGTAGTAAGGCTATAGCACAGCGGAAGACTGAAATAGCAATAATCAGACCCAATCAGTGTTGTGACATGGACTGAACATCATCATCATCATCATCACATGGTGTGAGGGGCACCTGGCGCTCTAACACAGAGACGAAGCGCCAGACACCGACATAGATGAGGAGGAGGGAGGAGAGAGAATTAGGGTGGAAGATGGCAACCACCATAGCCAGGTAAGTACCTCTGGCACTCCTTCCTCCTAGTCCCGGTCTTCTTCCTCCTGTCCTTGCTCCTCCCCAGCAGCGCTTCTCCTTGCTAGCGCTGCTCCAGCCAGCACTCCAACCAGTGTGTTGCCAAACTTGCACACCAATAATGAGGAGGGGCACTTTGCTCCTCCTGGAGATATAGCGGCGTACTCGCCTCTCGGCGAGTGACTTCCCAGCTCGTGCAACCTCCAAGCAACTGGTACCTCATCCCTTTCGGAGGGAAACATCATTGCAGACTCTGATATTGCCCATACAGGCCCTAGACTCAGACTGGTTGGACTGGTACCCGCCTAGACCTAGCCTACAACTACTGGGCCTCTAAAAATGCCAACTTTTGTCTTCTTCTGCTCGGCCTCGAGTACCCGGCACATCTACATCTGCTTGGTGTGGTACCGGCCTACCTGCTACTTGAGTGTTTTCGCTGTTCTAAGTGTCGCAGACCTCTTTCTCCGCCAGTTGAGTGTTTTCCCCGCTGCAACCCTCAATGTCACGGCCACAGGTAAGTACCGGCCCTTCGGGCCTTTCCGAACAACCAAGTGCCCTTGCGGGTCACACACACACTCAAGCCGAGAAGCACTCAGACAGGCATGTAGACCAGCAAGCATGCACACACACAGACTTAGAGAACTCAGCAACGAGCGGGAAACTCAGCAAGGCATTCATTCTATGACAAAACTCAGAAATCAGTGTCTCAGTCCGTGTTTGGCAGGTCATTACAGTGAATCAAATCTTCCTGGTTTTTATCTGAGCAGAAGATGCAGACAGCTGAGCTGGTTGGGTCGTTCTTCCTTCTGAGGCACTGCATGCTCCTGATTTTTATTGGGCTTATCATTTTATATTTCTTCCATGGGAATTCTGCTATCTGGTCTGCATTGGAACCTATTAGCTTGCTCCATCTTTCTTTGATTGTCGGGTCTCGGTTCTTTGTTTTTAACAACTTCTTGTAGCCTAGCTTGACTGTATATTCGGAGATCGGGATTGGTGGTGTGGCAGTTCTGTTTCTGTCTGGGCGCCAAGCCCGTTCTGATGGATCGAACTCGAGATCTTGAATAGCTGTCCTTCATTGAAATATCCGTTTTGGCCAGAGTCCTAGTGTTTTTATCTTGCGGAGCATAAAAGCAGTCAGCACTACTCTTTCAGGACTGATGTTAGAAACATAAGTTTCATCAGGCTTGATCTTCTGAATCGGGAAGGAGGTGAAGACGTCTCGTGGACCTGGTAAGGTTAATCGATGGGAGAATTGATAGGCCCTTTCGGGGGAGGTATCCTGAATAAGGACTTCCCACTTACCCGATTTCCACGTGAATTCCTCCTCGGTAGCTCTACCCAGCCCCGCAGGATGCTCTGTGTGATCTTTTGCAGATTTTCGTCTCTGTAGTGAAAGCCTTTCAGCCTGGTCTTAAGTTCATTCTCATCCAGCCATCCCTTTCTTAAAGTTTCTTTCCTTATTCCAAATGTCCCCTACTTGCCAAAGGCCGTGCTTGATCCATGATAACCATCTGTTGCCTCTGCGGGAAAGTGTCCACAGGTGGTCCCCCTCGTCTCTGATCCAAGGGTTCCCCAAGAGAGGCTGTCTGATTACTCCTTCTTTAGACCTGGGTTTAATTAGCTTATCGGGCATGACCTCTCGCCAGATAAGTATCAGGGTGGTCCAGTAGGGAGCGGTGGCCTGGTTATGATTTGTAGGTGTGAGATTCCCATGTCTTCTCCGCCCTGATTTCCAACTCCAATCTTTGTTCATTGCCCAGAAGAGTCCGGACATGTGAGCTGGGCTCTCAGTCGGGGCCAGATTCCTGATGCTATCTGGTGCTAGTTAATTCCAGCGCAGTGATTGTTTAGTCAGAAGCTTAACTATCCCCTTAATCTGCAGGGCTTTAGTTTCTTGTCTGGAGTCAATAATACCTAGTCCTCCCTGGGTTGGTTTCCTTGTGATATAGTGCCAAGCTTTCTGATCTGGTATGGTCCAGATCGAGGGTATGTACCACATCATTGAGAATATGGAGGTGTTGATGGCAAGTGTCCTGCCTAATACACACGTAAATGCTTGACTCCATTTCCCCATTGTCTTGATTTGAGTGATCCATCAGGCTCCCTGGTCCTTGGAGATGCGGGGGAGGTTATCTCGGGTGCTAGTCTGAACGCTTCCGTTGCTCTGACTAAAGCTGCCATGGACGAGTTGGAGGCTCGTATCAGCAGCGTTAAATCGTCTGCAAACATAATTACTGTAGGAAATGAGAACTGGTGTGTGGACCCTACATATTCATTTCAGGCAATCTTTGTATATATGGGTCTTTGCGGAGGAAGGAGGCTACGAAGAGGAAGATGGGTGGTTGCGTCCAGGTCAACAGATTACTCTCCGAAGGCTACCCAATCTCCAGATCAGTAAGATCCTGCCCTCTTTTTCTAACTGTTTGCAAACAGCAATATGCCTTCCACACCTCAAACCTGGTGCCTTCCAATCTACTGGGGTGAGCTTCTGCAGAACGGTGACACATTATTTCCTGTGAAATGGGGCTCTTTTATAGGGTGGCATAATTCTCCTCTAGCCCTCTAGGTCCCCGGCTAGGTCCCCACCAGAGCTATGATTGGCAGCCCTTTTATCGTCCTGGGAAGGAGTCTGCCAGTGTTGGGAACCTCCAGCACCTGGGGCTATCTCCGAGTTGTGTATGTTCTTTTTTTTTTTTTTTTAATAAAATAAGCAGCTGCGTATGGATCCGGGCCGCCCGGCCGACTGGCGCCTGCCCGGGGTATGTCCCGGGCAGCCTGGCCGGGCGGGKGGCCCGGTTGGGGGCCGGGCCCCCCGAGCACACCTTGTTGGCGGGGGGTTCCCGACCCCGATTCGGGAGATTTCGCCTCCCCAGGGCCTACCGGGTCCGACCACGGCCAGAAAACGGCGCGTCGGGCCCGTGAGGCCTGTTTTTTTTTTTTGAATTTGGGACGGCTCTCTGGCCGTCGATCATCCATGATCTACGGCCAGAGGGCCGTTCGTTTTTGGAGGGAGAATGGAGCCCCCGTTTGAACAAGCCACTGGCTGGGGCGGTCTGCATTCGCTGTCCAAACGGGCGTCGACACCTGCTGTAGCGGGCTGTGTTCGTCGTCGAGTCGCCCGTCGTCGAAGTAGCTGCCCCTCGTCGCCATTGCCTGGGAGCTTTACTCGCCCGTCGTCGTCGTGTCGCCGTCGCCCGTCGCCAGCGTCCTCCATCGCGGTGCTCCTGCCTGCCGACAACCCCTGCCGCCCGTCGACGTGGAGTGCCGGTCTGTTCTTCTTCTTCTTCTTCTTCTTCTTCCCTCCTCCTCCTCCTCCACTCATTCTTCTTCTTCTTCTTCTTCTCTCCTCCTCCTCCCCCTCTCGTCTTCTTCTTCTTCCTTCGCCTCTTCTTCTTCTTCTTCTTCTTCTTCTTCTTCTTCTTCTTCTACCTCTTCTGCTTTTCTTCTTCCACGACTTCTTCAGTCCTCCTCCTCCTCCCCCTCTCATCTTCTTCTTCTTCTTCTTCACCTTCTCTCGTCGTCGTCCTCCCCCTCATCTTCTTCTTCTT